TGTGTGTGTGTGTTTGTTTGCTTGCTCGCTTGTCTGTATGTGTATGTTTATAATTATATATATATATATATATATACACAGAGCTATTTACTATTTGTTCATCTTTCCGTTTACTCACTTATGTAATTATACAGACCTACCTACCGACCTACCTACCTACCTACCTACCTACCTACCTACCTACCTACCTCCCTGCATTTTATGCATGCATGCATGCATGCATACATATAGCTAGCTACGCAGCTATACATAGTGGATGTACCCTAAACCCTAAACCCTAAACCCTAAACCGCAATACACCAAAAGGAAATCTCAAGAAGGAGCCCTGGAGACAGAGGTTCCATTGGGGGTGTCCTGAACCCTAAACGGCCCTAAACCGTAAACCCCAAACCCTAAACCCTAAACCCTAAACCCTAAACCCCAAACCCTGAACCCTAAACCCTAAACCCTAAACCCTAAACCCTAAACCCTCCAACCCTGAAAACAGAGGTTCTTTGTGTGCTGTGGCACGGCCCGGTCGGCTTCGACCGTGAAGTCGCCATCGCCAGGGGAGTAGTAGAGCGAGTCCCAAGCCTCTCGGCTAAAGAGCGCAAGGTCTCGGGGAGTTTTTTCGGTTTCCTTTAAAAGGGATCTATAAGGGTTCCTTTCTTAGGGTTTAGGGACATAAGGGTCAGGGTTTAGGGTTTAGGGTTTAGGGTTTAGGGTTTAGGGACGTAAGGGTCAGGGTTGTGGCCTCGGTGAGCTTCAGGCTTCATTGCAGCCTTAGGGTTTAGGGTTTAGGGTTTAGGGTTTAGGGTTTATCTGACAGCGCTGCTCCACTAGCTTCAATGCAAGGGCTGGGCTGATGGCAGGCTCCCCCTTTCGATTCCTGCCACCTCAGAAGCCCTGAAATATCCTAAACCCTAAACCCCTAAAACCCCTAAACCCTAAACCCTAAACCCTAAACCCCTAAAAACCCCTACACCCTAAAGAAGGTGGCCGAAGAAATCCGAAACCATCAACCCTACTTGCGAGCAGCTGCTGAGCCCTGCCGTAAGGACCGAAGACGGGTCGGGTGACGAAGCAAATCCCCTACGCTTTAGGGTTTATGGTTTAGGGTAGAAGCCTTAGTAGTAGGCCTCGGTAGGTATCTTAAGTTTACTATACTCATAAGGGAACTGTAGGAGGAGAATATGACCGAACAGTCCCACAACTCGCTTAAGCCCGAAAAACGTGTAAACCCTTAACCCTAAATCATAAACCTGAAAACAAGCCTAAACCCTGAACTTTAACCCCTAAACCCTAACGGCCTGCAGCAAGGACAGCTGCATGGGGCTCTCAATGAGGAGAATCAGACCCTCCCGCGATGCGAGCTCCCGTGTCATCTTCTCACTGAGGCACCAACCCCTCCTCTAGGGTTTATTTAGGGTTCCCAGAGACCTTGAGTAAGGAATATACCTGAAATTACGGTAGGATCCCTGATATGATGTAAGGTATATTCCTGAATAAAGGGATATTGGAGTCCCTGGGTTGCGGGTTGAGGGCTTAGTCTAGGGTTTAGGGTTGAGGGTTTAGGACTTAGTTAGGGTCCGGGTCTAGGGCTTAGGGTTGAGGGTTTAGGGCTTAGTTGAGGGTTTAGGACTTAGTTAGGGCCTGGGTCTAGGGTTTTGGGTTTAGGGCTTAGTCAGGGTCTGGGGCTTTGGGTTAGGGTTTTGGGTTTAGGCTTTGTGGTTCGAGGGAGTTCAGGGCATGAGAAAACAAGGGAGCCGCAAAGCCTCAACCGCGCCTCTGCCAGGTGTAGCGATTCAGCTCAGCAGAGGTGTCAACATGGCGCATTGTAGGGCAAAGTGCGACGAAGAACTCGGAGGCAAAAATGTAAGCCGGAATGCTGGCGATGGCGTTGGGCTGTTCCAGGTGAGCATTGCTGCAGAGGATCTTGACCTCCTCGCTGTCCGACTCCAAGCAAAACTGTGGCACGGAGAAGTAGTCGTACCAGACGTATACATTGACCGAAGTCAGCTTGGCTTTGGAGTAGGGCTCCACCCGGCCGTACAGCATCTCGACCTCCACGGCGGGTGAAGCTCTCACCTTAGATGCTGAGTTCATAAGCCTAGAAAAGTGTACACTTTCAGTTTTATAGTAGGTAATATTATCCCAAAAAGTGTAAAGTGTATCCACTCAGCTACTGAGTCACTTTTCCTGCCGACAGGTTTGACAGTGCTTCCTGCAGGACCTTGAGCTTCTCGCCACTCGGGTCAGGGTGGCAGTAGGCCGCCCACTGGTGTGACACGAACATCGCCTTCCCAAGACCCTGAGACACCAGCCCCATATCCCAAATGCTCTAAACCCTA